CGGGAAAAGCCAAAACCCACCAACCCCCCCCCCCCCCCCCCCCCCCCCCCCCCCCCAGCCACTGTTACCCTCCTCCTCTTTTTGGTCAGATCATTAGAGGGTGGTAAAGTCAGGTATGGTTCTAATTATAGGAACATTCCAGACCCCAACTCTCTATAAGCTAAGGACGCACATGTGCAGACGGTACGGGGGGCTATCGTGAAACTCCGCGGCGGATCAGACACTGGAAAAGCTTTGAATTAAGAAAAGTTGAAGGCTGCGTTGAGTCAAAGGTATGAGTCAACAACAAGAATCGACTGTGAACCTACAGCAGAGCCGGTGTTCCTGCTGCTATATAGGCTTCATGAAATCAAACTGCCTTATCAGCACTGCACAGGCAGACAACTTCTGCTCTCCTTTCTCGTTGCCTCACCCGTGATGCGGGAATACTGCAGAGCCTGAATTTGATTATCAAAGGACAAAAATAAAAGTAAGCTTTCTCCGCATTTACACTTCCCACAACAGGAAGCAGCCCACAGATGGATCTCAAAGAATCTCAGAGGTTTTTCTTTCCTCATCATTTACCTGTGCACTGTTCATCATCACTGTGGGATCACCTTCTCATAATCTGCCTTTATAATCATTTAATAAAAATCTAAACAGGAATAAGACACTCTGCAAAATATTGAGAAAGTAATGATTACTTTTTTAATTCACTTTTTTTTTTTAATTCAGTCTCTTCCTCAAATTAAACAAGCCTTCTGCTCAGGCGGCCAATTAACACCTTTAGAAAATATAAAAAGAAACACAAGCATTTCAAGGACTTGAAAAAAAAAAGAAGTTTTTAAATTTGTTAATGTTAAGATTGGTGTTTTCCAGTGCATTTCAATGCTGTTTTGTGTCCTTTCGGTTGAGTACATAAAATCTCACTGTTGATTCCTCCAGTCACCTAAAAATTCATATTGTAATAACAGGATGTGACTAGTATTGTTTCTTGGATGACCTCATCCAAGAAGTAGGACACCCAAGGGCAGCAGTCAAATTAAACAGCCCAGTTGGGCTGTAACATCTGGACATACTATAGGACTTCACCACACGTGGTTTTTGTCCCATCACCTGACAGACTGCGCAGTTTCAGTGGCACTGAGTTTTGTACAGGCTGCTTGTCTTTATCGTGTAGGACATTAAATCATGCGTGGACATTAGCTGTGCATTTGGCAGAGGCTGCCTGCGCTTCACTGGCGAGTGGGATCAGCACCAAGATGTGTCACCGGTCCAGCCCAAAACTGTCACTCATCGTGTGTCCTGCTGCAAGCCACCCTGCGTGGCCATGACGATGCATCTTATTAGAAAAAGAAAAATCACCTACGATGAGCCAGGGGACAAATCCAGCTAATATTCTGTAGTTTTTCCCCTTTTGTGTAAAATGTCAACCTTAAAATTATATGCATTAAAACTGACATTTAATTCTACTGAACGATGAAACCTCTGAGAGTGAAGAAACAGCGGGACAGTGAGAAAAAAATGAAAATGTAACTCACCACTTTTAGCTCTGGCACGGACCGACTCAATGTCCATTCCTGACTGTTGACGAAAGAATCTAAAAAAGAAGGGAGACAGATAAGATATTAAGTCATGGAGCGCTGGAAAGAAAAAGCCATTCATCTGTGTCTGGCCTGACCCCAGCTACAGATAATAAAGCATCAACAGTGGACGACAGTGGACGACTTCACAGCTGCAGTGCACAGACGGTCTGCCGTGTTTGAAACAGGATTTATGATGGAGTGTTCAGCCGAAATAAACTGTCTAACTTATATTTAGTTTTCTTCCACTTGTGTCCGTCCTGAATGAGTTTCACAGAAGGTAAACTAGTGGGTTACAGCAGAGGAAGGGAGGTGTAGCAGGTCTTCATCATCAAGTTTTCACTTCAAAGTAATGTGAGAAAGTTTAACAAAAAACATGTTACAGCAGAGGAAGGGAGGTGTAGCAGGTCTTCATCATGGCTGAGATAAGTCCAGAGTAACTATGCCAGGATGTTAGTCAAGTTTTTGTGATCATGGTTACAAAGTTTTCACTTCAAAGTAATGTGCGAAAGTTTAACAAAAAACAAATTCAAAAATAAAAAAAAGCTATTTCTCTACATAACTCACTTACAGTCTTATTAATTCTCCAAGCTGTGTTTCCATCAGAGAATTCCTTCTTTGTCAAATTCTTTGTCTGTGGCACCAGGTCACGACCTGCCTCACCAAAAGGCTGGTTCAGAAATTTAATTATTTTTTTTAAGATTCCCATTCAGGTTTGATTAAAACTAGGATGCTAGCTTTTGACTTGACTTATGTTGGTTATCACAATGGCCTGTCCATCTGTGAATTAGCCAGTGGGTGGTTCTAGAGGTCATAGAGGTCACGTTCTGTTGACCTTATTCGATCTCTGAAACCTCTCTGCTTTGTTCTGTTATCAGGGCAACACTACATTTTTATGCCTGTTGTTTTTTTCAAACACAAACCTGTTCACTAAAGTTCAGGGGTGGAAACTGGGTGGATTTAAACTGTTGCCTTCAGGCAAAACGTAGAAGATCCTGTCACTGAGGCCCGCAGCCGCCCGGGCTATTGACAGAAATCTTCAAACTAACAGTCAAACAATAAGGGGTTGAAAACATCTTGGTGACTATTATATTTATGAGTATATTAAGTGATGTCAATAGCATAATTACGGTGACAGGCCTATACTCGAGCTGCCAAAAAAGGCATACAGATAATACAGTCATCATTAGAGCTTAACAATGTCACTGGAGGTCACAAAGAGGGCAACGAAGAAACTTCAGTTCAATCAACTCATTATTAAAACACAGCGTGAAAGAACAGATTCATAATAAATTAAGTTTCTTTTCTGTCTCTGGGTGACCTCTCTACGATAAAATAAAAAACAGAAATTGATTTTTTGGAAAAAAAAAGAAAAGTTATTTTATTATTCGATATATTGTCATTCATAGGACTGACTGTGAAGGAAAATTGTTCTATCAGCCTCTATAATCTGCTCAGGCCTCGCCATTACCAGGAACAGAAACACCTGCCTTAGTGGAATGTCTGCAGTTCCCCTCAATATTTAGTTTCTGTTTTTTCTTTTTCTTTCCTGAGGAGGATTTACTTAATCCAGTTAAAAAGAACAGCTTTTAACAGACTTGATTCAACTTGTTGAAATTTTGGAGTGACTCGATAATGAGGCTGTGAAAATGGGCACGGGGAGCAGGCACTTCAAAAAACAACACAAACCCTCAGAAGTACAAACGAATGACTTCTCATCAAATTGTGTTGTTTTCACACAGAGATTGAGGACATGACTTTTTTTTTGTCATAACTGTTAGAACAAAAGGCTCTTTTCCTGTTTTGGGTTCTCTACCCTCCACAGAGAAGATCCTATCTCTAACACAGGGGCGTAGACTCCCTGTCTCCAGGTAAGAGTGTATGCAATACTCCCTCAAATTAAAGCGCCCATCCTCTGAACAGGGACTCATCATTACAGTTAAGCCTGTTTGTTGCAGCAACAGTGGTTTTCCTCTGTGACGACGGCAACACTAGTGTCAGAGACAGACTCGTGCAAACGCTAGGAAAACAGCAGCCGATAAAAAACATTAATCACATTATTATTTATTAGGGTTTGTTATACTTGGATATGACAAAAAAGAGTGCACTTTTGGTGCCGAAACCCACTTCTCTGCATTTTCAGAGTGTGTGGAAGTGGAGAGGAGGAGAGTGACTCCCAAACAGAAGAGCCTTTCAGCAGGCTTTGTAAAGAGTCGTGTTTAAACAACACGTGCTTAATGTGGAGCCCTCTCAGAGCACATCTGACATGTCAGGGCCTGCGCGGAGAGACACCCAGTGTAATTCAGTTCTAAAGTGCAGGAAACTGGCTGCAGGTCACAGTGACACTGCCATAGTTCCTACGTACCTGCCTTGTATCCATGTAAAGATTCATACATACACACGTATAAATATATACATGCACAAATACATGTATTTGTGCATATAAATACATATGAACATGCAATAATATATAAATGCATATAAACACACATATTAATAACTATATACACACACGAGACACATTGATACTATATGCATGCAGTATGTGCTCACTATAGACATATAGACATATATACTTGGCATATATATCTATATATATACACATACACACACACATATGGAAGTACTGATTAAAAATTGGAAACAAACACATTTGAAAAAAACATTCTGTCCTTATTTTCCGTTGCTGTGGTAACCCCACATTAACACAGAAGGATTGAAAAAACCTCCACAGTAACAGGCGGATGTTAATGTTACATTTCAGCTCAGAGCTGACACGTTCACACAAACCAGTGACCAGAGAACCATAAAGGGAAACAATGGTATTTAAATCCTACACATCTGTTCTCCAGTGCATCTCTGTACATTATTTCTACAGTAACGGTGTCTCGGACAGTTACAGAGCAATGGCAAATAAACGCAAGCCACTCTGTCTTTAACTGTTAATGCATTTTAATTAGGAACACAGTGAAAGAATTAGAAATACAAACAGCAGGGGAAGTCTGTTTTTTTTAGGACAGATGTAATTTCAAATTGTGCAAAAAGAAAAAAAAAGCTCTGATCAACTTTGGAACTGTTTCTCCAATAATGAAAGAATGTTTAAAAGGATCTTGATTCTGAGTCCTTGGACAAGGCAACAAAGTAGTGATCAATAAGTAGAAGTAAGAGTTTAGACTTAAATACAGGATATGTAGGGATGATTATATCATTTGTTCTATGACTTTTTGACCCACCTTTGTATTTGCTGTAAAATCATGTTACATAAGGTAAGAGAGCCGCTAGTAAAAAAAAAAACCCACGGTGATGCAATTATTGCAACATTTCTTTGAAGGGAAAATAAAACCTTGATTCGTTCCATATATATTTGACTTGTGTTTATTCCATGGGGCTAGAAATAATCCAGAGTCAAATTCAAAGTGGGGTCACCTTAAACCTGCTCAAGGTCCAGACTTGGAGATGCCGGACTTATTGTACAGTGTTAAGCCTCCTCCCCACTCCCTCTCTCTCCCAAAGTCAGGTGAACAAGGAAAGGCTCATAAAACAAAATGAAATCCAATGCATTTCTCTTCATAAACGTTGCTTCAACACACACTTTAAAACTGAATAAAAGCAAAGAGGTTTTTTTTTCCCCGACTTTGCAGCAGTTACAGTACAACCCCTTTAATCCCCTGATAAATGAGATCCTAAAGTGAATCCATGTGCTCTGTGTTACATCATCCTTTAAATATGAGCATCGCTGCATATCCGCGTCCCAGAATGCAGATACAAACAGCAAATGCCCCGGCATGTGTGGTGCCTAAAGAGGACACCAGTGTCTTTGTCTCCACCGGGGCAAGACTGCACTGCCGGCTTGTTTGTCGTGTTTTTCGCTCGACTGCTCATGTCTGCTTGGATTAAAATTACCTCTCCAACCCATGGTGGTGAAGAACAACCCTCTCCACCCACCCACTTCTTCCATCACTTGAAAAAAAAATGCAATGTGAGTGGAAAATCTGGGCCCATGCTTATTTGAGTGTGGGCACATCCACACACATGCCTGCATATCTATATACAGTCATTTTAGGTGGTTTTGGGGATGAGAGAGGAAAACTATGAGGTCTAAACTTCCACCCCGGCTGACTTTCCAGCCAAACTTTCCCACTGTCATAAATTACACTGCTGGCAATTAGTAATTCTACTTCCCTAACCTCACGACCAGCATTCCACGTCTGACTTTAAGCACATGTTGACAAAACGGTACTCTGGCGTTTTCCTATAACGCCTTGCTCTAAATATACACAGCCTGCATTTCAGTCTTCCATTTGACTTCTATACGACGAGGATCTTAATGAATAATCGCATTGTATTCTTTAATCAAGTAACTGAGAAAAACAATAAGCACAGGACAAAGTTTGAATATTAATGCTCTGCCAGTCTAATCTCAGCTGGATGGCCTCCTCTTACTTAAAGCTCTTAAAGCCTCGTGCTGGCTGCTGACAAACATTGATTACTTCCCCCTGAAAATAAATTGGACCTTGTGGCTCAAACAGGATCCTCATTTACCACGGGCTTTGCAAATTGGCTTTTCAAGAAGTCTTGCAGTACAATGCTCAGCCTGACCGACTCAATTTATGGAGCTTAGGGAGGAAGGTGTCAGATTTAGTTTATCCATAGAAATAGTTGAAATGTCGGCACTACACTCAAACTTCCCACTAATCCAAATGTTTACTTGTTGGTTCCATTGGTTTATTCAATCGAGATAAGTAGGATGCTGTTTATCAACCGCAGAAAACACTGAGGAGCAGCATGTAACCAAGAAGAGACAGAGATAAATGTTTACACGCACCAAAAAGTGTGATGGCTTTTGTGTTCCTTTATCGTCTACCTCTTAATCCTTCTTAGGTCACAAGGGAGTCAGAGCCAACCTGGACAACTCACCAGTCCATCACAGGATCACATTTGAGACCAAACAACCATTTATCCTCACATTCATACCTTTAGTCAATTTAGAATAAACAATTAATTTAATCCAGAAGGTGTTTAAAAGGAAAAAACAACAAGAACTATTTATATAAACTCAGTTTTTAAAACTTGGGTCTGTTTCTGTTTTGTATAAGAAATGTGGGAGAAATGGTGTTAGCAGTCCTGATAAAGTCTCTGGGGGGACGCAGCCTCCACAGCCATATGTTTTATTATGATAAGCTAAGGCACAATGGGCAGTCACACAGTGTTGTTGTTGTTAATTTTCCTAAATGGAAAAAAGCAAAAAATGTTTCTAATGATTAACCAAAATAGAAAATATACTGTGATGTTAGCAGGACATCAACTGGGAATTATGATTTCTCTTGACATCATTGAAATGACAACATGTTGTGAACTTATTTAGCCATTCCTTTTGGCTAAATAAGCATAAAAGACTAGATAAAAACACTGATGGTCATCCGTCCTGCTGTCCAGCCACCTCTTCTCTGACCGTGGAGCCCCCTATCTCACCACTGAGTACAGAGATTACTCATGCGTTCCAAAAGCCCAACAGTGTGGCTTTGTTCACCCACAGGTGGGGGTTGGGACGGAGTCTGCACACCTCAGAACTTCCATCCACAGCAGTCAGTCCCGTCCCATCCCCCAGTCGTCAGTGGCACAATAGGGACAGGTTATCATTAAACACATTTAAAAGGAGTGTGTACAGACACTTAGTGTGTGTGTGTGTGCATTGTGACATAGCTCTGCATTAGCTTTTCGGCATTCATTTGGAAGCAAACACTTCTAGCAGGTTGTAACAGGCAGAGTCCCACCCAGGGCACTTTACTCGGGCTGAACGACACACCTACATTCCTAGTGCCTGACTGACTGACTGACTGACTGACTGACTGACTGACTGATTGCAGGGGGGAATAAATGCAACTTGAAACTCTGCCACAAAAGGAGTAGGTTTCCCTGGTAACATGTCTTGCACAAACAAAAATACACTGGGAGACCAACAAGTTTGACCTCGGGACCTATGTTCGTGAGATAATTACATATCTGCTATGGTGGCTCAAAGGTTGGTGTAATGAGGGTGGATGCAGCACATGTGTAACTTGACGCTGGAGGAAGTCATTAAGTTGTCATGGACGACTAATTAGGTTTTCCCAGATGATGTGAACTTAGAGCTTGACACGGATTTTTTTTTTTTTTTTTTTTTACAAATCATATCTATTAATTGTGTCGCAAATATTTGTAGCTCTGGGCTCCTCAAAGCAACTGGACAAACACAATCCACTGACAGTTAACCTTTCAACATTCCGCTTAAGCCGCCTCCTTCCTTTCTCGTCATTACAGCGTGTAAGTCCCTTTAATTAAGCCATGCTCCGCTGCCAAACACATCCACATCACAGCAACTAACTGCTCCGATGCCATTTCTCTTGGTTGCGTCTCTTGAAACCAAAAGACCAAATTTTAAAGACTCTCATGCCCTTTGTCTGGGTGACACACAAACATTCCCTCAGCTCTGTTACACCGCTGCTGCACCACTGTAAAACAAACCATCGTTAGTTCTGATCATCACTTTACTGTACTGTTTACTACACTGGCCTACTCAGTTGTTGAACTTTATAAAATCTTCTACACAGATGTGTGACTGCAGTGTGCATGAATCAAAGTGGTCAAAAAATGAGAACCAAAGGATAAAGTACCCAAAATAGACATTCCAGAAAGACTCTCTGGAACCAGACGTTTCTGAACCTTATCCAAACACACAGTTGCCCATGTGTTTTTCATTTGCCCTGAAAAAAAAGCACATTTCCCCGTTTCCCATACACTGTGCATTACTTATGCTCTGACCAAGGACCTAATGCAGAGCTGAGCTCTAAAATCTTACCTTGACCTTTATAGGAGTCCATGCCAACCGTCTCTATGGCAACGGCCTGTGACTTATCATTTGGAGCCAGGGGACACTGGCCGGAGTTTTTGCTCTGGGGCTGCTGGATTCCACTTTTGCCAGTGTTTGGCTGATCTTTTCGTCTGAAACGGTTCGCGATCAGCTGCCAAAAGCTTGGTTCTTCCTGAACGGGTTTGGAGGACAGTTTTGTTGGATACAGGGGTACTGCCATAACCTTGACCTTCCCTTTACTCTGGTATTGAAAGTACTGCACAGCTCCATCTTCACGTTGCTCATTAGCAGTTGAAAGTGTTCTGCCTGTAAGGTATGAGAAAGGTTGTGGAGACGGTGCTGTCTCTTCGACCGAGTGCTTATCTCTGGGCCAGTGTTTTGACTCGCCCTCAGACCCTATAGTACTTTTGTCCCGAGGTCGATTTCTCCTGATGCGCAGACTGAGGCTCCGCCGTAAACTGCTTAGTGTGCTTTTGGGCGAATCAGTTCTGCTGAGTTTGGAAGAAGACTGAGTTTCTTTGTCAATGTCCTTCTCATTGCTCTTATCTTGAGTCAATTTGCCAAACAGTCTCCATCGAAACCCCCCCTTGAGAAAACCACTGTCACTGCTTTTGTGGCTGCAGTTCCTCTGGCTTTCTATCTCATCATCAGAGCTGATTTTTCTCAGCTCCAGTACTGTCATGCTGACAGGCCTAGGCTTCCAGTTCCTCTGGCGGACCCTAGGGGTCACCTCAACAGTGGCTGAAGGCCATTGTGCCACAGCAGACGAGAGCCCATCCACTGCTCTGAGCTCTGCCTTCCTGTTCCTGTACTGATTGTTTTCCAAAATACCTGTCCTTCCAGGAGGTATCTGGATCTGGGCTGTCACCAGGGCAGCGTCTGGACCCGCCAGCATGGAAATACTTCGGGGCCTCCGCAGAAATCTCCCTTTCTCAGGTAGAGAATCTCTTTGCCCGTTGATCGGCTCACCGCACATGCTCACCGGTCTCCTCCCGAGAAAATGTTCATCTTGCCGTGGCCGCCGCAACACGGCCCGAGGCAGAGAGTTATGTCCTGTGACTCTGCCATGATCCCCAAAGGCAAGGCCTCTGACGTGGACAGTGACAGAGTGTGATGTCGAGGCGTGAACGTGGTGCTTTTGAGGTTCTTCCAGAGCAGTTATCTTTGCCACAACTCTGCCGTCTGAGCTTTTGGAACGTTGCTTTGCAAACCTGTCCATCTTCATTTTTTCCTCCACCTCTTCCAACTCCTCCTCATTTTCTTCCACAACAATGTCCTGTCTCTGCCTCCCACATCTACCTGTAGAGCTCAGTGAGGGCAAGTTCAATTCCCGCTGTGCCCTGCCCAGCCTGGGGCTGCTCTCCATTGGCATTAAACTCATTATCTTTGCTCCTGGATGGCAGTTTTCCAGCAGGGTGTTGGTGATAGGGCCCATACCCAGCATTGACACAGGCACATCTCCCACTGTTTCATTTAGGACTGCAGAGATGTCGTAGATCGTCTTCCCCTGCTGCGGCAGCGGGTCAATAACTGTATTTCTCAGGGTCACATCCGCCAGGCCACTGCTTAAGAACAGCATTGCACTTCACTCTAATAAATGTACACATGCGTCTCTTAGTCCACACAAGCACATAGCCAAGATGGAAGTTCACATTCTACCAGGGATTTAGAGTTCAGTTGTCCATCTAAGAACTAAATTCCAGTGCCAGGCATAATCCTTCACCTTTGACATGGGTAAAAAAAAAAAACTTCAAAGAAGGCAGAGCCTCAGTGGCACCTGTATCCTCTGGCTCCTGTACTCAGCAGACTCACACAGCTGCTCTCCTCCACAATGTGTCCTAAATCTGTTCTGCACCGACAGACGGACAAAGGAAAAAACAGGTTGTCCACAGAATGTTTTACAACAAAGACAATCTTTTGATGGCTTTAAAAGTTGCAACTTAAAAATAAATACTGAATCATCCTTCCTTTTTGGCAAGTTCCAGACTGTGAGCAATCCTCGTTGTTGGCCGAGCAGACAAACCCCTTAATCTCTGAGCTCTTTCCTTACAGAGTATGAGGGAGTGTGTGTGTGTGTGTGTGTCTGTTTGAACTTTTAGCTTCCAACCCCCTGGAAACATGGAAAACAAGGAGTGGATCCCACATGGCTTTAAACACACCCTCCTGAACTGAGAACAGGCCCCGGAGTCATGGGAAGACTGAGCCGGAGGTGAAGAGAGGACAGATGACAGGATGCTGTAATCAACAAAGAATACAACCCACAACAAAAACAACCATGAATGGACACTCGGACCCATTGTGTGGCAAAACACACTAATTATAGTATGCACAATCAATGGACGAATATCACAGACCAAATACCGAGTATTGAATACTTCAGTATCACAAACGCTGTTCAGTTTTTCAGGTGGTGAAAAAGTGATGTGGTCAAATGTCATCGGCAGAGAATTTTTTTGTTTTTGTTTTTTTAAATCCTCTCATTAGATCATCTCAAACAGAGAGACACAAACATAACATCAGCGTATCAACAAAGATACTACACATCACACTGTGTGTGGCTCCCACCAAACAGCCCACACACTGTGGGGGATGTTTAAAAGCACTACGTGATGATTATGTGTATGGTTATTAATCATTTGACCAAGTAGTAGGAGTTACTGCAGGGAAGAAAGAACTGAAAACTCAACATTAATGTTCAAACCCATGTGAAGCCGAGCTGATCTGTGTCTGTCCTGTTGGTCTACAGTAGATTAGGGAAAAGTAGGAGGACAAATTTGGTCACATTCCATGACAGGCTCCAAATAAGTGAAGCCAGATTTTACTAACCCTCTCTCTGCAGTACACTTAGTTTTGTGCAGTTAGGACTGAAACATTGCCGCCCTGTGGCCAAAAAACATATGCTCACAGATTTGGAATTCCTTTGGAAACAATATGGAAATACGGCAACAGTTGGCAGACAGGACCTGTGCAGGTATAATAAATAATGTATTGAAGAAAAAAATGTGTTGGAGAGGCAGAGAAATACTGCATATATTGGACTAAAGATGTTGACGATGGAAGACCTCAGAGAAGATTAATGAATATGATGACGCAAAAGTAAAAGAGGAAGGGGATAGGGTGAGATGGAGATGATCCACTGAAGTGACCCCAGAAGAAGAAGAAGAAGAAGAAGAAGAAGAAGAAGGCAAAGAACAAGAAGATGAAGATTAATTTAAATTTCAATGTTTTAAAAATCTGACTCAGTCACAAACCTTTTTGATTATTGTGTCAAAGCTTATCTAACATCCTGGCAGAAGAAATGGCAAGAATTGAAAAGTCTATTGTTATGTGAAAAATCCATCACAACGACAAAGACTCTTCTGCCAACAGTGATATCCCAGGGTTGTATTAGAAATGAAAAATCATATTTCATGAGAGCAGAAAAAAAAAACAACACCCCCAAAAGACCCTTCAATGACTCACACCCTGATCATTGCACGGGAAAAAACATCTAAAAGTCGTCATCCTTTCGTTCTGCTGCAGCTTTTGTGTTCTTATCAGCAGGATAAGTGTCATTAGCACGATAACATCACCACGACATGCATGTCAGGCTTCAGGGGAACGATGGCTTTATTTTTCATCACGCGCTGTAAACACACTGACGCACGTACTACCTGGATGATTCTTATCTGTGAGTATTGAGTAACACTAACAGAATCTGCACAAAAAGTAAATGGAAATGCAGGCTGAGAGCAAAGCACAACCATTACCTCCGTCCAGGTAGTAGGGGTTTGGAATGATGTGCGGCTCATCGTCCAGCAGGCAGTCCCTTTCACTCCACTGGGTTTGGTGGTGTCGATTTCGTCTACGACTCCCGAAGCAGAGCAACATACTGTTATCTACCTATAACCTGAGGGACAACTCCATGACTCACACAAAAGCCATTCTGTAAAAACTATAATGAAGAAAACACCAGAGGGCTCTGAAACATCACGTTGGGCCAAATTAGAGCTGGTCTTTCATCATCCTCCTAGATGAAGCATTGCTGTGAGAAACTCCGTTCAGGTCCAGCATGTTTTTCCTCCTGTAGCTTTTGTCAACGGCTACAAAACTCTGTGGCTGTGATGTTCCTTCCATGCAGACCTGATAATGTACTTAGCAGCCGAAGCCTCCGCAGTTACTGCACCGTAAGATGTAGTGGCCCAGGGAGACCATGTGCTATAGTTCACCTGGAGACATT